ACGACCCCGGCGGCGGGTAGGAAAGGTAGGCAGGATGGGAAAGATAGGACAGGGCTCCCTGCGGAGCGCCGTTCCCTGAGCTGGGACAGCTAGGAAGCCTGGGAGGTTGCGGTGGGAAGGCTCAGCTAGGATGAGGCCGGACATGGAGGAGGGCGGCCAGCATCCAAGCTAGGCAGCTGGGAACCAAATTTCAAGTCTGGCTAGGACTGTCCCAGCTTTCCCAGCTCGGATTTCACAGCACAAAAACCGTGTCCTAGCTAGGAAGGTAGGAAATCCGACCGCCTCTTGCCCATTCCTGATTGCCGTACGAGTCTCCCTCTCGAATCTGTTTACTGGCCACAGAGCATTGGTATTGTCTAGCCGATGCATGCGACAACATGAAATGAGCCAGGGGGCTCAAGTAAGGTCGTTGATGGCTGGCCAGCGTCAGGATGCATGCCACAAACTGCCTCTCCAGGAAGGCCTGCCGCCACCATTTAAGCTGCGGGTGCCGCGATGGACATTAGATGCCAATCTGTGCAGCCGAACGGGTGGAACGCACACCGTGGTCAAAGGGTGATCGCATGACACCACAGAGTGAACTTGAGGCGAACAGCAGCCTCAAGGCGCCGGCGGCACGCTGCGAACAGCCACACGACTGCAGGGGTCGAAGCCTACGGCCCCACCTTGGCCTGCAGCTTGGGCAGCCACGCCACGAAGACGAGCGTGAGGGCGGCATGGGGCGCGATGCGCACGCAGTACGTGGGGAAGCCGGTGTAGAACTCCAGGGGCCCCTTGTTGCGTAGCGTCTTCAAGGCGCAGTCCATGGAGCTCTGAAGAGGCAGGCGCAAAATTTGTGGCAGTTGACGTACGGTCCATGGAGCCTGGCCTTGGGTGGTCCATGCTGGCACATTGGCGGCGAAGCATGCATAACCCGCGTGCTGCCAGGGGAGCCCCGCAGCGGGTAGAGACGTGCAGAGTTGTGACAGTGACAGAGGTGCAAGGGAGGAAGGAGAGGAGAGAGGGGGTGCCCAGGTGTGCGCAGAGCAGGCCAGCGAAGCATGCATGGGCTGCTGGCATTGATATCCCACCTCCTCTCCTCCTCCCCGCTGCCACGCACCTTGTAGGGAACCTCCCCTGTGATGGGGTCGGGCTTCATCTTCTGCATCTGGGTCTTCACATAGTCAAACGGCAGCGAGCACGCTGCCGCGAAGAAGCCAGCAATGGTGGCGCCGCCCACCACCACGGGGGTGCCGCCGAAGCCCATATCCTCCAGAATCTCCTTGGCCTATATTAGGGCAGGTGACATTGCATGTGGTGGGTTGGCCCATGAGGTTGGCCGGCGCACCAACATGGCATTCGCCCACCCACCCAGTGACCCCACCTGGTCATTGGAGGCAAGCATGCCCATGTTGAGGGCGCATGCGCGCACAACGGTGGGGCCGGCGCCGGTGAACAGGCCACCCATGCCCTCATCCTTGACGATGCGGGTCAGGGCATCAAAGACACCCTTGTAGTTGCGGCGCTGCTCAGCTGGCAGCGTAGTGTCTGCCTGCGAGGGGCAAGATGGACCATCCAGGCAGGGCAAGGCAGGGCGCTGTGCTCGATGCTCGCATCAAGACATCGCATTTGTCTGATACAATGGTGCTGGACAAATGTGCGACGGTCAATCCTAGCTTGCCTGCATGCGGATCAGCGACAGATCTGCTGGCGAGCCGACCAGCGCGCCCAGCCCGCCGGCTGTCAGGCCGCACACCGCCTTCTGCCACAGCGGCAGGGGCTGCAGGCCAGGGAGGCGCCAGAAATGGTTGTACCTTGCTTGCCCTTTCCTGATGAGAACGTCAGGCACAGCAGAAACGTTGCATGCAGGTGGAAGTATGTCAAAGCACACATTGATGCCATGCAACCCACCTTGTTGTCGTTCATCTTCTTGGCTGCCTCGAAGATGTTGTTGTAGATGCCCAGGCGGGCGGTGGTGTATGTGGCCTGGCGCAGCAGGCCGGCAGACAGGCCCTTGTACAGAGAGCCCACGCCCTGGTTCCGAATCATGTTGGCAGCAATGGAGAACTGCAAAGTGCAGACAGCAGGCAGGGTCAACGGCATATGCTGAACAATGAGAAGGCACATGAATGTGGGAGGCATTCCAAGCTGCATGCTCATGCGTTAGGGGAATGCAAATGCATGGGAATGCCAGGCACTCACCGGGCTGCCCTTCTCGCCCAGTTGAATGCGGACTTTCACCATATCAATGGGCTGGATGATGACCGTTGACATCATGCCTGACAGGCCGCCATTGACAAAGGGCCTGGCTGCCGCCCACACGGGGTTGAGCGCCTTGTTCTCGGTCGCCATGCCGCTGTGCTGGGTTGGGCTGCTCCTCGTGCAACTGCAGCGCAGCCTGAAAGGGGCGGATCAATAACTGGAACATCGTGCCTCCCTGGCTTTGTGCTCTGCCGTGGGCCGCATCGGTTTGTGACGCCTTGGTGCAGCGCCGGCAGCGGCGGGCCGGGCCAGCAGCCTCGTCAAGCAGGCCGCATGCCGAGCAATGCGCGCTGATGGGCTGGCAGTAGCTCATGAGACTCGCTCATGCCAGCTGGTAGGCGCCCACAGGCCCGTTGGTGGACTCGATGCCAGAGGCTGCTGGCGCAAGCACCCAGGCGGCTGTGCCATCGCGTCCTCATTGATTGTATTGTTGCGATGGCAAAGCCCTGGGCAAGCCTGGAAGCGTGTTTCGACGCCCGGACGCACCTTTACTACACACGCACTGAACCTTTTCTTGTTCGGGTGCGAGGCGGATGTGGGAGGAGCAGAGACCCAAGTCGCACAGCAACAAGGCAAAGATGCATTCGTTGCCCAGCTTCTGTGCCCAGCTGAGGCCGCATGAGCGCGAAGAAACCTGCCAGCTTGTACACCCAATTTCCTCCTCCTCCTCTCCTCTACAGTCGAGGTGTGCAGTGTGGGGTCTTAGTCCCCGCCGTTCATGCGAGTTGCGCAATGCACAATGCCGTGTGCCTGGGCTGCTCGGCGTCTGCGCGGCATGCAGGAGTCTGATTCTCGCAGGAGTGAAAGTAAGTGTACTCCAACAGGGGTGGGCAACTTTTGCAGCCGCCGCCACTGCCGGGCGCCTTGCCGCACCAGGCGCTCGCCGTCGTTTTATTCTCTGCGCCGGCGGGCAATGGCCAGCCTGGATATCGAGATGGAGTTGTGGATGGGGAGTTACCAGGTCATTTCTAACCCAGGAGGGCAGCAAACCCAACTGCAGCAGCCGCCAGGTGCCAGGTGCCGCCCACCGGCTGCCAGAGAATTGTGCGGCTGAGTGATGAATTGCACAAGGGGCTGTGAACACCCGGAGCCCATTCCGATTTCCTAGCACCCGTCTCTGCCGCTGTTTCCTTGATCTAAAGACCTTAAGGAACACCATTCCAGCGGGAACGGGCGCCTCTGAAAAATCCCATTCCATTCCATTTCGCCATTCCTGCCCACCCCCAGGAATCGGCCGGTGGGCCTCCATTCCGATTTCACGTTCCGGCTTCAGGCGCTTTCGCCGATTGTTTTGGGCCCTGATCACTATCAGAAGCTCCGTTCCGGCGATAAACAGGCCAAAGGGACGCTGTGGGCAGCGACTGCCAACCCCCAACCACCCATTTTCGGCTGGCTCCTTCGCGGCTAACTTCGCTGGAACGGAGCTTCTTTCAGTGCATACAAGCAATCCCGCACCACGGCGAAGACGGTTCCTGACATGCAAATTTGAGCCCCCCATTCCGCTCGGGTGTACACAGCCCCCAAGTGAACTGCTGCTCCAACAACAAGAGCTCAACCAGCAATGACGGCCGAGCCAAGGCAAGCGCCATCTTGGTAGAACACGGCATACTGCCCCGCCGCCAGCCCCTGGTCGTTCCCACCCAGCACCACATGCCCTGCGCCGCCGCCGGGCTCGAGGGACAGCTGGCAGGCATACATGTGCGGGCCGTGCCGCACCTGCATCGATGGAAGGAAGCGAGGAGAGAAAGAAAGACGGCAGCACGATTGAGTGGCGAACAAAATGCAGGACAGCTTGAGCAGTGCACCTTGAAGCCGCATCGTCTATAGGCCGAATGCACTGTAGTCCACAAGGGTGGGTTGACGCACCTTGCAATACAGCAGGCGGGAAGGGTCCGGCCGTGCCACACCGCACCAGCTGAAGGAGTGGCAGGAGAAGCTGTTGCGCAGCTTGTCACTCTCATGGTACTGGCGGGAGACGTAGACCACGTTTGTGTCAGGGTGTTTGCGCGTCACATACCTGCCTCGCATTGGGGAAGGAGCACGGCAGTCGCCGGTCTAGGTCCAGAAGCAGCAGGAAAGCATCGCGGGGAGCAGGCGGCCAGCCCAGCGCTAAATGCAGGAGGTGCTCGATGGCTGCAAGCAACATGCCAGGGCGATTTTTGTGTACTCACCAGGGCCCCCCCGACAGTGCAATACCCTTGCGCTGGCCCACGGTGTGGAACCAGAAGCCGTGGTGGAAGCCCACCACCTCGTTGCTCTCCTCCTCCACAATCGGCCCCGGCCACTCCCCAAGGTGCTTCCTGCGGAGCAGCGTCCGGTGATGGTGCACAAATACAGTTGGTACCAGGGGTCCTGTCGTACCAACAAACGCTAACACTCTGAGGCCTTGTCTGGGTGGAGGCAACGGTGAACATCGACGGAAACATAGTTGCAACTCTCTCTGTAAGGGTCACCTAATGAACTCGTTGAACTTGACTTTGCCCAGGAAGCAGATGCCCTGGCTGTCCTTGCGCGCCTTATTGGGCAAGTCTGCCGCTGCTGCCAAGGCACGGACCTGCAGGAGCAAAGAAATCCGTATTCATTGCTGCAGGCCGCGCCGAGCAGCAAGCGTGCAGGCCATGTTGTGCAGCTCTCCAAGCCTGCAGAAGCAGACTGCTTCCAACGCTGCTCCCTCTTGCCTGTGGCTTGGTGAGGTGGCCGAGGGGGAACAGCGCGCGAGCTAGTTGGTGCTGGCTCAGGTGTGCCAAGAAATAAGTCTGATCCTTGATGGCATCAGGTGTCAGTGCCAGCCGTGCCGCTGCAGCCGTTCCAGGTCGCTCCAGCCGGGCATAGTGCCCGGAGGCGATGCGGTCGAAGGTGCCAATGGCCTGCGCACTTAAATGCTCGTAAAATGCACCAAACTTGACCCTGTGTAACCGCGGGGACGTTGCTGATCAGTTCCTGTGAATTGGCCGCCGTGTGGGCAAATGTACAGTGCCATCGTGCATCTGAATCAACCAACTGCCTATCAGCCACGAACACCGGCAAGGGGGCACAGGCGGCAGCAGTCGCATCAGCCTCAGTGCAGCGCCCCTGCAGCAGAGCGGCACCTGGAGTTGCACAGCACGTCTGGGTTGGGGGTGCGGCCATGCCGAATCTCGGTTATACAGTGTGCCACCACACGGTCCCAATACTGCTCTGTGAGCGGCACGACCTGCAGCTCCACCTGCAGGCCAGGGCAATGGAAGGCCAGGCGAGGGGCCCACGAGTTCAATGCTTGGGTGCTTGAGTGACATGCTGGAGCTGGCTTGTCCAGTGCAGGCGGCGGCGCCCTCACCCCCAGCCGCTCGCAGACCGCCCTGCAGTACTCCAAGTCCTCCTCCCATGGGCAGGCGCCCCAGAAGTTGCGAAAGTCCTCCTGAAACCAGATCTGCAGCAGTGAAGATGAATGGACGTGGGATGGGATGGGCGCACGTGCTGCCCCGGCAGCAGTGGAGAGCAAGCAAGCGCTGCACCTTCTCCCCTGCTAGCGTCGCCAGACCTGCAGGTAGAAGGCAGTAACGCGGTGGCCCGCCGCCACCAGCAAGTGTAGCGCCAAGCTGCTATCGACGCCGCCACTGAGTAGCAAGGCCACCGTCAGAGGGGCCGCGCCCGGCTCACACCTGCAGTGTCAAGGGCAATTTATTGAGGCCACAGCGCTTTTCGCCAGGCCACTTGACAGCGTGTTGTCTCGATGCTACAACGTGTTGTCTCGATGCTACAACGCTCTGACGCGGCGACGACGGCAGCGACGTGGCGGCAGCGACCACGCCGGCGCTTGGCGGCGCGCACCCCAGCAGCAGCTCCGGGTGACGGTGCCACTCCTCAAAGGCCGGCAGCTGCTGGACGTCGATCGTCGCCGGAGAAACAACCAGCTGCGGCAGAAGCTGAGCGGCATGCAGCACCCCGAAACCGGTTCCGCTGGCGCGTGGCGCTGCATTCGGTCGTTGCCAGGTGCTGCTGGGACGGCCCCACGGCGCAAAGGACGGTTGGAAGGCCCTCAGGCTGACCAGCTGGGCCCTGACGCCCGCACGCAGTGCACCGAGCCTGCCGGCCTGCATAGCTACAGCGTGTTCTCTTCTGCAAGCAGCTAAAAGAGATTTCAGCTGAGCTGGCCTCCCATGCCCATCTTCCCATGCTCATTGCTCCCCAGCCCTCTCGCAACCACATTCTCCGTGGAATCACCATGGCATCGTGTGCCACGCTCAGCGCCGCTGGTGTGGCCCGAGCCAGCAGTCCCCGTTTCGGGCAAGCCAGGCCCGTGCTCCTGCTGCGGCGTGTGCCAGCGGCCCTGCCAGGTGAGGTGCGTCGCTGGAAGAATGGCGGACCGCTTGCACAAAGCGGTGACGCGCGTCCTCCGCTCTTTGCTGCAGCGGCAGCTGGGCCACCACGGCGGCGCCACAGCCTCCTGTGCGTCTGCGCGGATGCGGCGGCAACACCAGCAGCCACCACGGACTTCTCTTCAACACAACGCAAGGATAGCAGGTGCGGCTCAAGTGTGGGGATCATGCCAACAGGTCAGCAGGATTGTTGGCCGGCGATATTGGCCAGCATCTTTGTGCCGCCTGTCTCTTTCAATCTGTCCATGTAGACCTGTCAGTCTGATGTGGGTGGCTGGGGGCCTGGCGGCAGTAGCGGCGGCAGGTGGATGGGCAATCATCAGCGGCACGGCTGCCTCTCTGCTGGCAGCATTGAAGCACTACCTGGCAAGCAGCATGCTGGCCAAGTCAGGTTTCTTTGCAGCATTCAGGTGGGGACTCGGGGCCACTTTGTTGCGGTGTTGCCAGCCGCTGGAACCCGAGGGAAAGGTTGATTGAGTGCTCCTGCCTGCATGTGCACCTGCCTCCGTCCCCCATCTGGCGCCTGCAGCCTCATTTTTTTTAGTGAGCTTGGGGACAAGACATTCTTCATTGCCGCGCTGCTGGCGATGCGGTGCGGCAAGTGGGTCAGCTTTGTCGGCTCCACAGGGGCGCTGGCGGCCATGACAGTGAGTGGGGTTGCCAGGCAGAGGTGCCTGCCTCAGATCGGGCCAGTTGTTTGATCTGCAGCGGCACAACCCCTGTTGGGGCATTCAGCTCATGCCACTCTCCTGTCGCTTGCGGCAGTGCATCACCTGCTTGCCCTGAACGTTGCCTGACCTGCTGCAGGTGATTTCCGTGGGTATCGGGTTTGCCGTCAAGCGCGTGCCCACGGTTTTGGAGAGCAGCGAGGTGCTGGGACAGTGGGTGGGCGCTGCGCTGCTGGTCTACTTTGGGCTGCGCACGCTGAAGGACGCTTGGGAGAAGACCGAGGAGGCGGCAGATGATGAGCTGGCAGATGCCGAGGAGGAAGGTGCACCTGCCAGTGCAAGTGCCCAGTGGTGACTGGCTCTGCTGCAGCGAATGCGGCTGGGGCTGTATTTGTGGGGTTGTGAGCCACTCCTGCCCTGCTGGGCGTTGCCTTATGATTGCGAACTCGCCTGTCCCTGGCCCCGCCCCCGCAGTCAAGTCTGCGGAGAAGGGTGGCAAGATTCACGGACGGCAGGCACCCATGAAGGCGCTGCTGGAGGTGGCCTCGCTGATATTTGTTGCAGAGTGGGGAGACCGCTCCATGCTGGCCACCATTGCGCTGGGCGCGGTGCAGAGCCCCCTGGGCGTCGCAGGCGGTGCAATTGTTGGGCACGCGGTGGCCACTCTCATCGCTGTGATCGGCGGTGCTGTGCTGAGCAAGCACATCAGCGAGAGGACAGTGGCCTTCCTGTCGGGGGTGCTGTTCCTCGTCTTTGCCGGTGCATCCATCATGGGGGTTGCATGATTGTTTGGATCTGACACTCGACCTTCTGCTCTTTCTGCATGCGTTGATACGAGCCCATGCAAGCCGGCTGTACAGATTTACAGATTCTGCCACATGTCCAACCGCAACTCAGCCCAGCGTTTCGTTCATGTGTTCTACTCTGCCATTGGAAACTTGAAATGCGCGCAGGCGCCGCAACAGGTGCGATAGCTGCTCGGCAGCTTGGCCGTCCACCTCTCAATTTCACCGCGCTGGGCAGGCATGCCGCGCTTGGCAGCAGCCTGCCCTTACGACAGCAGCACCGTGTTTCGCAGCGTCCGGTCAGTCGGAGAAGCAGCCTGCAGTGCACCGCCTGGGCGGCGCTAGCAGCCGCCTCCTTTGACGGCGCGGGCAGCAGCGGCGTTAGCGTTGGCGTCGAGGCGGCACCGCCGCCGCGGTCACAACAGCATGGCTTCGCCGCCTTTTTGGCGGGCATCCGGGCGGTCTTGTTCTACTCCACGACCTTGATCTTCGCCGCTCCCCTGTTTTGTGTCATGCTGGCGGTGTACCCGTTTGTGCTCCAATTTGACAAGTACAGGTGCGAAGCCCCTGTGTTGTCCCGGGGGAGGGTCATGCGTCGCCAAAAGGGGCCGTTGAGGCGCTGTTGATGTTCCTGGAGCAGCAGCGTCGCAGCCATGCGTCGCAGCTTGCGCAAGCATGGATGCTGCCTGCTCCACCCCCACCCCACTCCACCCAGCCCCCGCATTCCAGGCGTCAATCCGGTTGCAGGGCGCAGCTGCTTGCCCCAGTGCTGCACAGCCTCCGCCCTCTGCTTCCTTGCAGGCGGCGGGCGGAGCATGCCATCAATACGGTGTGGGCTAAGCTTACGACCATGCTGTACTACCCGGTGCAAATCGAGGGGCTAGAGAACCTGCCACCCATCAATCAGCCCGCGGTGTACGTTTCCAACCATCAGAGCTTCCTGGTGCGTTGCTTCATGATCTCGCGGGGCGGTACCATGACTCGACAATCACTGGGGTTCCCAGGTAGCACCACCCGTGTCTGCCTGCAGGACATTTACACGCTCTTCCACCTGCACCGCGACTTCAAATTTATCTCCAAAACCTCCAACTTCCTCATCCCCATCATCGGATGGAGCATGTTCCTTACGGGTGAGCACATAGCTGGTGCCAGACAGACGCCCACTGGGCTGGCATCACTCAAGTTGATGGCGCGGCTGCTGTCTGCCTCCCTCAAGCACCCAGAGCTGGCCTATGCCTCCATGATTCAACCTCGCTGCCTGCTATGCTGTAGGGCATGTGATGATCAACCGCGTGGACCGCCGCAGCCAGTTGGAGTGCCTGAAGCAGTGCGGCGAGCTGCTGAAGCAGGGCGCCTCGGTGCTGTTCTTCCCCGAAGGCACACGCAGCAAGGACGGCCGATTGCATGCCTTCAAGAAGGGGGCCTTCTCTGTGGCTGCCAAGGCCAAGGTGTGAGCGTGTGCCAAGCCAGCTGTGTCGCAGGCAGCAGCCCCATTCGGCCTGGCCCTAGTGTGGTGCAACACTGCTTGGGTGCCCGCTTCCTTGTGCACAGGTGCCCGTGGTGCCCATCACGCTGATCGGCACTGGAGACTTGATGCCCAATGCGCGCGAGTACCTGCTGTTCCCGGGCAAAGTCAGGGTGTGAATGCAGCTGGGGCAGGAGCTTGCGCAGCATCGTGGGGGCATCAAGCCTGGCTGTGATGGACCACTCGTTTTGCCAGCCGACAAGCCGCCTCCTCCCGCGCTCCCACACCTTCCCTCCCGCCTGGACATGCAAACCCCAGCGTGCATTGGCCCTCCTTCATTGCTCATGCAGGTGGTGATCCACCCAGCCGTGGCGCCCAAGGATGCTGACAGCATGGCCGCTGAGTCGTATGCAGCCATTGCCAGCTCGCTGCCGCCAGAGCTTGTAGCACCGCTGTACGAGGAGTGAAAGAGCAAGCTTGACCGGTACTGCTTTTGAAATGCAAACATGAGTGGGTGGCTGATGCTTAATTCGGCAAGCACTATTGTACACCCAACACCTTGTCTGGCTAAAACAAGCAAAGAATTCTAATTGGGCCGAGTGCACAGCCCCCATTTCAGTGCTGCGGGTCTCCCCTGGTGCTTGTTTTGTTTTGCCGGTCCAGGTGCACCTGGCATGCCTCGGTTGTGCTTCCACTTTGTTGGCTGCTCCTTGTGTATCACAGCTTGAGGCTTTTGGCAACCTGAATGAGTCCCAGGAAGGCACAGAATGCTCCCTTTTTGGTGCACAACTACTCCCTTGGCAGGTCTGCTGAAAGTGGAAGTGCCATGGAATGGCCGAGTAGATGGCCAAAGCACTGCAGCAGCCCACCTGAGTTGATTTGCCGCCCGTTATGCGTCCTAGTGCGGGCCAGTGGGAAGGTAGCTGCACAGCATCCAACAGCGGGGCGGCCTGCCCAGGTCCCCCCCCCGCCCCAGAAATCCCCCCAATAGGCACTGCCAGGCGCTGCATCCTCTCTCGTACGCCTGGTCCTGGGCCCGTGCCAGCCAGCTCTGCCACCAAACTTATATCGTCGAAGTTCATGTTGCCGCCGCTGGTCACCGCCACCACCGTCTGGTGGCAAAGGCCATAGTGCCGCAAAAAGGCCTTGGCGCCCGCCACTGCCACAGCGCCTGCAGGCTCCAGGATGGATCGAGTCTCGTCGAACACGTCCTGCAGGCAAGAGGGCGAGGGAGGAGGCCAGGGGCAGAAGGCACCTCAATTGCAGGAGGCAGGCAACGCAGAGGTGAATGCCTCATTCCCCCAACCGACGTCATATCCCGCCCAGCCTGGCTGCACCGCCTCCCTTGCCGCGCCAGCCCACATACCCTGATGGCGGCTGATGTGGCGGCGTTGTCGACCAGCACGACGCCGTCTAACAGCTCGAGACATAGCCGAAAGGTCTCTGCACCCACATGCTTGAGCGCCACACCATCTGTGGTCGCATGGGGCGAGGGAACAGCGCCTGTCAGTGGTCCCAGGGGAGGCAGTGCCCCTGTTCACATGCAGTCAGGGCAGGCTCACCTGCAAAAGCGTCGACGTGGGTCAGTGCCACACGCTCTCCCCGGGCCAGTGATTGCGCCATGGCATTTGAGCCAGTGGGCTCCACACCGATGACTGCAATGTGCGGCCTGAGAGCCTTGACGTAAGCTGCAATACCTGCCGCCAAGCCGCCACCACCTGCGGCGAGTTGAGGTGTCCAGAGGATGTGCAATGGCAGAGCCTTGTCAGCCCACCCACCAACTGCAATAATGATGTACTCTGCAATTCAAATGGCCACCTCACCCACAGCCACAAAGATGGCATCTAGTTTGTCCATGTTGGTCTGCCTGCGGGACAACAGGTGCAGCCCGTGAACATGTGAGACAGTTTGTGTTTTCAGGTCAAGGCATGATGTCAGCGTCTCACCGCAGTATTTCATAGCCTATTGTGCCGTGGCCGGCGATCGTGGCCGGATCTTCATACGGGGCAATCAGTGTTTGCCCTGTTGTTGCTGCAAGAGCCTGCACCAACCCGCCAGGATTGTGGTGAACATCCTACTGACATGCTAGAGTTTGGGCAACGGGTCGAGGGCATGCGGGCCAACTCAGCTCGCGCACCTGTGCGTGCTCCTGTGCCTCCTGAAAGCTCTCCCCCACCAGCTCCACCATGCCGCCCAGGGCCTGCACTGCCCGCACCTTGACATAGGGAGCCATCTCTGGCATGCACACAAGAGCTTGGCAGCCCTGCAGCACATCGGGAAGGGAAGCAGATGCTGGCAGTCATCGTCTCTTTCCCTTGTTTGTCAACGTCTCTTTCCCTTGTTCGTCACTGCATCGTCCTGCTCTTCATCCATTCATCTCTCCATCATGACCCACCAGATGCCTTGCTGCCAAGGCGATACCTTGGGCGTGGTTGCCGGCAGACGCGGTGACAACACCATGCTCCAGCTGCGAGCGATAGGGCAAGAGGCAAATTGAACGCCAAGGTGCCGGCCGTGGTTGGCCAGCTCAACCAGCAGCTGTAGTGGCCAGCCTCAGCAGCTGTGCCTGGCGCGCCTGCTCCGGCGTCAGACGTGCCATCCTGTTATAGGCGCCGCGCAGCTGGAAGGACTTGATGGGCTGCAAGTCTTCTCTCTTTAGCAGGATGGTGCTGCCCAGCTTCTCACTGCACCCCCCCAGGCCCACAGAGAGCGGCATGCAATTGATTTACAGGCAAGTGCATTGTGCCCACCAACAGCAGGCCACTACAACACACAATGTTGTGGCGGGGCAGAAAGGCCGCCCCCCACCTCAGCCTAACCGCCTTGGTCAGTGGCGTGGTCACCGCCACATCATAAACCTTGGCAGTCAGGACCTCGCGCAGGTAGTTGTCGGGGTGGCGGCGCCACTGTGCGGTGGAGCAGCTGTCATCGCACACCTGCTTGCGAGGAAAGGGGCAGGCATCTCACTCATTCACACGGTTGCACATTGGACAGAACTTAATGTGCCGTGCCTGACCCACCGAACACTGGCGCATGGTGCAGCTGGAGCAGCAGAACACGTCTGCGGGGGCCAGCGCCCTGGTGCGGTTCACGTAGCCAAGCTCCCCGGGCCGCAACTGGTAGTCTTCAGGGCTGGCTGTCAGGGAGGGCGCCTTGGGGAGGGCGGCTGCTGGGCAGGCAGTGGCGGCGGCCGCGCGCCTGCCGGCCGCCGTTGAGGCCAACGTTGGGGCCAACGTTGGCGCGTCGAGATCATTTGATGTCGCGTGCAAGGCGACTGCGCTGCGCTGCCGCTTCACGCGGTGGCAGTTGGGGCGGGCTAGGAGAACCCAAGGCGAGCGGGCGGCAGCGGCAAGAGTCATCGTGATCGGTCAGATCGGTCAGCAAGGCCGAGACCGTGACGGATCAGGCAGTCGTAACAGGCAAGGCCAACCTAGATGTCTGGTGGTGAAAAGGCTCAAGGCCGAGCTGGCACTACGCCGAAACCGTTGACCAGCACTCTAACCAGCAGCACGAAGCTTGCAGGATTCGAGGACCGCTGGCATCAGCAGCGCCGTGCGGCAACGACAATTGCCGTCGCCGCCGTCGCCCGCCCACCGTCTGCCGCCCCGAAAGGAGGCATGGCCAGGCCGGGCTCCGAGTGCGTGCGGGTCTGCGTCCGGTGCCGGCCCCAGAATTCGCGCGAGACGGGCCAAGGTGTGGCGGTGGCGGTGGACGAGAGCGCCGGCCAGGTGGCGCTGGCTTGTGTCCGCAGCACCGAGCCACCCCGCGCCTTCACATTTGACGCCGTGTTTGGACCGGAGGCTAGCCAACAAGATGTGTATAATGCCACCGCCCGCGACCTGGTGAACAGCGTGCTAGCCGGCTTTAATGCCACCGTGTTTGCCTATGGCCAGACCGGCACCGGCAAGACGCACACCATGGAGGGCCGCAAGACCTCCGGTGCCGGCCGCGCTCCCTGCAGAGGCGGGCATCATCCCGCGCACCTTTCAGCAGATTTTCAACACCATCGGCGCCAGCCAGGCGCAGACCACCTTTTTGGTGCGAGCCAGCATGTATGAGATTTACAACGAGGAGGTCAGGGACCTGCTGTCGAAGGTTAGTGGGTGTGGGGATCAATGGTTATAGTTGTTTGCCGCATGATTTGCCACCATCGACGCTTCCCATCCCCATCCATGCGTCTTTGTCTGTCACCACCCGTGCTGGTGCACTCAGAATCCCAAAAACCGGCTGGAGGTGCACGAGGCGCGAGATGGCGGGGTGTACGTCAGGGGGCTCAGCACCTTTGTAGTGCAGAGCCAGGCGGAGATTGGAGCAGTGCTGGAGGTGGGTGGACGGGGCTGTGGCTGTGTGGGCGATCTTGCGGCATCTTGTAGCGCGATCAAAACAAGTTGCCAGCACCTTCCCCCTTTTGCAGTGTGCATGTGCTTCCAGTGTGCATGTGCCTACCAGCCTTGCTGCTCTCCTGTGCAGGTGGGCACGCGCAATCGCACGGTGGGTGCCACACTCATGAATCAAGACTCCTCACGCTCCCACTCTGTGTTCACAATCACCGTGGAGGCAGCAGACGCTGCAGTAGGGGAGGCAGTAGGCGGGGACGCTCAGCAGAAGGAGCCGCGTGTGGCCGGTGGCAAGGCTGGCAGCTTCCGGGTAGGTAAGCTGAACCTGGTAGATCTGGCGGGCAGCGAGCGGCAGTCCAAGACGGCAGCAGTGGGGGAGCGCCTGAAGGAGGCTACCAAGATCAACCTCAGCCTGTCGGCGCTGGGCAACGTCATCTCTGCCCTGGTGGGTGGTGCACTGGATCAAGATGTGGCTTGCGCAAAGGGCCGATGATTGCAGTCGCTGCCACATGCATCCCACCGAGGCTGCACGAAGTTGCTGACGAATGTTGTCAGCCGCAAGCCTGTGCACTTGCCAGTCACCGCCGCGCAGGTGGACGGCAAGAGCGGACACATTCCGTACCGCGACTCCAAACTAACGCGCCTGCTGCAAGACTCGCTAGGAGGCAACACCCGCACCGTCATGATTGCCAGCGTGGGACCTGCCGCCTGTAACCATGAGGAGACGCTGAGCACGCTGCGATATGCCAATCGTGCCAAGAACATCCAGAACAAGCCAAGGATCAACGAGGACCCCAAGGCTCGTTGCGCTGTAGACATTGTGCAGCTTGCCCAAGCTTTCTTGTGCATTGTGAATTCATTTGCCGACTCATCGCACCCATGGCATGCAGGATGCCATGCTACGCGAGTTCCAGGAAGAGATAGCAAAGCTGAAAGAACAGCTGGCATCAGCTGCAACAGGCAGCAGCTCTGATGGCAGCGCGGATGCTGCCATCCCCTCTGCTGATGCGCACACCCGCTTGCAATCTGCCATAGCAGACACGTGGATAGATCCTGAAGAGCTGGAGCGCATGCGGCAGCACCTGGAAACTGAGCTGCGCACTGAATACAGCAACAGCGGCATGGAATTGGATGATGAAGCTCTGGCGCAGGTGAGCCATGCATCTGTATCTGATGCCGGCCCAGATACAGGAAGCCAGCGCACAGCGATCGGCTGGGCAGCCCCTCTAGCAAATTTGGTTCCCCAAACATCTTCTGCTCCATGCCAACGCAGATGAAGCAGGAGGTGGAAATGCAGCTTGTTGAGCAGGTGAAGCAGGCGCAAGCAGAGCAACAACGAGCGGACACTGAGGCCGCGCGCCTGGCGAAGCAGCTGGAGCAGCAGGCAGCCCAGGTACAGCACGAAGCAGAGCGCATGGACCAGGAGCATGCGCACAAGTGAGAAGTAATTGTACCATGCTGCCATTTCGTTGCTTGCTGATGCTCAACAGCACTGTGGAGGGGAGAGGGTTTCATCTACGACTTGATCCACCAACATACACCACCTCAGGATCTCATTGCCTTTCTGCAGTGCCGAGCTGGCCGCCAAGCTGCGCATGTTGGAAAGCAAGCTGCTGCATGGCGAGCAGCGTGGTGGGCTGGATAGCCTGGCAAATCAGACGGCAGCGCAGTTGAACCAGCAAGAAGACGAGCTGAAGAAGGAGCGCACAGCAGCGGTTCAGGCATCACGACACATCGCTGTGCTTGAGGCGAGCGCCCACACAGCGCAGGCGCAATATAGCTCGTTGCAGGTTGGTGGCGAAATTTACATGTGCGAGCGGCATGGCACCGGCAGCTGTGACTGAGCCCCTTTCATCCCTGATTGTTTTCTCTATTGCTGCTGTGCCTGGGGTGGGCAGGAGGAAGCCAATGCGCTCACTTCCCAGCTGGACTCAGCAGCGGGCGATTATGAGGCAGCTAGAGCCGAGCAGGGCGATGTGTATGCTCAATGGGAGCTGGACAGGGAGGACCTAGTCGAGGAGATCAGGTGTGACAGCATAACTAAATTGGGGGCTCGTGGGCACATTGGGCTGGACGGATGCAAGCAAAGATTCTATCACTTGGTTATAAGCATTGCTGAGTGTCACGCTGCGTAGGAGCTTGCACTACAGCCTGGCCCTGAAAAATTTGGTGATAGATGCCTTCATACCTCAAGAGGAGGTGTCCAAGGTGTGAAGGGGGCTGCCATCCTGAACGCGAGGCATGCATGCCACAAACTGCGCTCAAGGCACTTGATCTTTGATGGGGCCGGGTTCATTGCTTCCTGCAGCTGCTGCGGTGTGCCACTTACAACTCCTCCGAGGGCAGCTGGAGCCTGGGCCACAAGGGCGCCGGAAGGGCAAAATCGGCGGCACTGCCCAAGCGGCCAGCGTCGGCTGCCCTTCGCGCGGATGGGGCCACACAGCCCAAGGTGCTGCTGCTGGAGCTTCAACTGGACGTCCCTGAGAGAAAATTGCTCGACTTCGCCAGCCTGCAGCAATGTGCCGCACTGTAATAATAGCACCAGCGCTCCGCCCGCTGCGCTGGCACCCCTAGTATGGCTATCAAGCAGCTCATGACAAATCTGCACGCTTGGCTACAACTGCAAATTCAGGAATGTAAGAAAGAAACTCGCCTCCCAACAACAACTCCGGTATCAGATGGATTCCGGCTAAATGTTGGGGAAAGTCAGCAGGCGGCGCTGCGTGCTGCGGCGCCGCCTGTCGGCGCATCTCTCAAACCCACTATCTGTGTCGTTCTTCTTCTTTTCTTCTCATTATGATGCCCCGAGCATGGTTGAGCATTCTTGGTGTAGTGTGCCTGGTGCCCAGTGCTTGCGTGGTGGGCACGGCCATCGCCGATGAGCGCACCCGCTACTGCATTCTCACCTCTGCCGCCGTCAGCGTGGTGGGGTTTGCGCTCACGCTGCGATTGATTCCGCTGACCAAGGCATACACGCTCAAGGCAGGGCTCTTTGGGCTGGACATTAACAAAAAGGGCAGTCGGGAGGGCGAGAAGAAGGTGCCAGAGTCGCTGGGGCTGGCCTCTGGCGTCGTCTTCCTGGTGCGCCGCCTGGCTGCCGCCCGCCCCTTGCATGTTCTGCCGTAGAAAGGGTTGGGTACCTGGCGTCCCTTGTATCCTGCTATTCTTCACAGAACAGTCTGTTGTCCGCATGACCTCCAGTTTCAGATTATGAGCATCTGCCCACCATCTGTGCGCAGGTTTGCATAGTGCTGTTCCAGCAGCTCCATTACTACGACACACCTTCTCTGGTGCGATCTCTACGGGCTGGCAACTGGAAGGAGGTGTTGAGCGGCAGCAGAAAGATCGAGCCTGTCGGCGACGCATGGTGCGCCTCGCCGCTCAGCGCTGACATGCCCAGCTCTGTTGGGCATGCCCTCACGAGGGGCTGCCGATGTTGGCCTACTCAAGGCGGCCGCATACACACAGTAGAGTGGCAAATTCCCCCCTGGGGGTGTTTTGTCATTCACCACCATTTCGGTTCTAGGCTCCGCATCTGCACAAAAATTGAGCTGACATTGCCCAGAGCTTCCCTCTGCAGGCTAGTTGATTACAATGCAGCCTTGGCCACCATCTGCTTCATGCTGTTCCTCGGCTTTGCCGATGATGTGCTCGACATACCCTGGCGGGTCAAGCTCATCCTGCCCTGCCTGGCCTCACTGCCGCTGCTCATCGCTTACAGTGGCGGCACAGGTGAGCCACGGCACAACTTGGCACCTTGCCATGAGTTGTATGCATCTCCACCGACGTGTCCCTGGCCTGGCTTGCAGGCGTGGTGGTGCCAAAGCTGATGCGTGGTGGACCTCTGGAACTGCCTGCATACCTGGAGCTGGGCGTGCTGTACAAGGTGACTCGGTGCTGCCTTGGTCATGGCGGTTGCGTATCAACCATTCCTTGGGTCGTCACAATGCCGCTAATGCTCGGTCCCCCTGTTGTCAGGCGTACATGGTGATGCTGGTCATCTTTTGCACCAACTCAATTAACATTCTGGCGGGCGTGAATGGGTTGGAGGCGGGGCAGACGTTTGTCATCGCCTGCGCGGGTGCGCGAAGCAACTGTAGGGCAGGCGCCTCGTGGTTGGAGGGGTGGTGTGAGGCCAAGAATGGGTTGGTGCCTAAAAAATGATGTTGCTGTAGGAACGCTCAATATCAGCTGAAACTCCAGAGCTGCTGCTGCAGTGCTGTTCCACAACTTGCTGACCCTGAGCGGCCCTGTGGGTGCCGTGCCTCTGCTACGTGACGGCCACCTGTTTTCTGCATATTTGATGATGCCGCTGGCTGCCACCACTCTGGCCTTGCTGGCATTCAACTGGTATCCCGCTCAGGTGCGCATGGTCGGGGTCAAGTGTTTGGCAGCACAAGAGTCAGGCTTTTGCCCCTGCTCCAGATCTCGGCAATGCGTTCATTCGCAGTGCAGGTGTTTGTTGGTGATACATTCACCTATTTTGCGGGCATGGCACTCGCCGTGGCAGGCATCCTGGGCCACTTTTCTGAGACGCTGCTCATGTTTTTCATCCCGCAAATCATCAACTTTGTTTACAGCCTCCCTCAGCTCTTCAAGATTGTGCCTTGCCCCCGGCACAGGCTGCCCAGGTGGGCTTTCATGGCATAGATGTGTTAGATACGGTCCATGTGGTTGCATCTTGGTGCATGTTGGCGCGGCGCAAAAGGCCCTCACTTGCTGGCTGCTTGCAGGTTCGATCCTGCGACGGGGCTTCTTCATGCCACCCCCAACATGAATGTCGTCAACTTAGTGTTGCGCCTGCTGGGACCCTGCACAGAGTTATGGCTATGCATTCGCATATTGCTCTGGCAGATGGCGTGCTGCCTGACCGCTTTTGCAGCGCGGCATGCGCTAGCAGGATGGTACAAGTGATGTAATTTCTTGTTAGCACAGCTTATTGTAATCTCCATGTACTTTAAGTATGCTTGTGGGCTTGATCCCATTTGGCGTTGGGTTACGGCATCAAGTAAGTGGCGCTGCTGTTGCAGGAAGGCCAAATGGCCGGGTCCGCTCGCCTGCCATCGCTAGCTGTGCCCCCGCTGCCAGGCTTCGCCACAGCGGGTGCTGTTTGACCTGCTGCGCCGTGCCATGCTCAAGGACCATGCGAGAGATGATGCCCTTGCCATCGTCAACTCCGGCAGCTACAAGCAAAGGGAACAGGCAACGCCTAGCCATTTTGAAATTGTTTGCAGTGATGTCTCGTGGCTGTTGTTGGGTAACTGTGATTTCAAGCCACGCTTGCCTGCAGTTGCGCAGTACCACCAATCGGACCACGGCAGAATGTCGGTTTTCACATGATATGGCCCACCAGTGCCAAAGTTTACCTAGAGGTGCACATGCCAGGAGAGTCCCAGAGGCGCTGAATTGAGTTATCACCTGCCATTTGGACCGTTCTCCCATTGGCTTGGGAAGGGTGGCGAGGGAGCACTGCATTGCTCACCTCCTGCAGCGGGAACTTGGTGATGTAGCTGGACGAGGCACACTTCTGAAGGGCTGCCTTCATTGTGTAGTCAGCCGCAATCTTGAGCTTGCTCATGTGGACCATGTTGTGGAAGCCTGCTATGCTGTTTAGCGCAGACCGCTGCATCACATGCAGGCAGGTTGTATTGCTGTAGCTGGGTCACCCATACAATGGTGATGCACAAGCAGCAATGTCCTGCTCACCGAGTCTGCTCGGTAAGCAGCAACGCCGTCATGGATGAGCCGCGCATTGGAAGCCAGAGCCGCCATGAACATGTCCTCCTTAGTGGAGTATTGCACTGAATCCTGTCCTGTATCAGTGAATACATGTCCATCCCTGCTTTGCTCACAGCACAATGCATGGACAGCATGGACAAAGCAGTTGCACCTGTCCCTTAACGGCCAGAGACTGCTCACCCTTGGTGCCGCCTTCCAAGAACACAATTTCAATCGCGTTGCCCAGGAAATGGCTGGCCAGATTGGTGTCCTTCAGATTCAGCCCATGCAGGATGTCTGCAGAGCATAGCATCAGGCAGCCTGGCATGTGCAGTGCAGGCTTCCCCATCCTTGACCATCAACCTACCTGCGGTGACAGTAAACATCTGTGGCTTGGTGGGAACCAGCGGGCGGCCGCGTAAGTCATTCATCATCGTGAAAAGCATGGCTTGGACAGCATCGGCGGTGCTCACTTGGTAGCCGCCGCCGGCGGCTGCAACAGTGGTTGTAAAGCTTGCGGCCCATGCTGTTGGCTACCACCCTTCCATTCCCATCATCCAACCACCCCAACATTACAGCACAAGCCCAACCTATTGTGGCGGCCTTCACTCGGGCGACTACTTGCTGTGGCAGATACAAGGTGTGCACATCCCAGCGGCTGGTGAGCGAGCGATGCATTTGCAGAGGTGTGGACAGCCGCTGCTTCAAAGTCATGTGGATGTTTGGCTCCCAGGATACAGGCTTTGGCTCCCAACCCTGACCCACACTGCAGATCAGCAAGAGGGTGCATGCACACGAGAGAGCATGCGATCAACATGGGCAGTGTGGTATGCACAACACGCCTGCACAGGTCGACCTGGCAATGCATTTAGTTGGCTCACTCTTCTGCCAGCGCCCTCTTCAGATGGTCGGGGGAATGGAACAGCGTGCTGTCTGCCCGAAGAGGTTTGCCACTCACAGGTTGCCCAGTTGCCAGCGCCCTGACAATGCATCGTTGCAATTAACTTGAGCATCTGTCGTGGCTTCTTCTATGCCCTGGGCAGGTAGTGATGCAAAATCAGGGGCGATATCCTCGTTACCTGTAGTGATCTGATAGGCGTGCGGCCAGCTTGATGCCGCGGCCAGCATCCGCAATTGTGTGCCAACAGCTTGTGCTCAGCACCTGCCCGTCGGCCAGATTGGTCAGCCTGCATCAGGCTCCAAAAGCAAGACAGAGGGCACTTACTATGACGGCTGCAAGCTGCATGTTCTCGACGCGCCCAATTATGACTGGTGCTCATGGGTGGGCCGCAGGGCGTGCCCACCTGATCCTGACCGGGGCCTGGTCGCCACGCCGTGCTGCTGCGGGATCCAGGGGCTGGTCATAGAAAGCCATTGGGGCATTGCTCAGGGTGGTGCCATTAGACAACTGGGACCAGGTGTGAGGCCCCACATCTTCCAGCCTGCGGGGTGTTATGATTTCAAAATTGACGCTGTGCCACTGTAGCATCCATGGCGGGGTGGTGCGCCCGCCGGCGCACAGGCAGGCGATGATCTCCCTACGGTTTGTACCTGATGTTGTGCGCTCTGGCGGTGGCAAACTCCACCCCCTCATTGGTGCAGTCTATGACTGAGTCGATGAAGCGGCTGCCACTGCCCAGCACCCGACCGCGCCCGGCCAGGTGCGGCACCTCGCTCAGCACGCCCTGGATGGCGTGCTTGAGCAGGTTCGACTGCAAGTTGTGGCCCTTGAAGAAGTAGGTGAAGTTGAATCCAGCATATTGGTACATCTGGTCCACCACTCCTGGCTGCACTCAAAACAGGGCACAGCAGCAGATGGACGCTCAGCAGCCAGAAGGGCGGCAGGCACCCACGGTGCAGAGTATCCAAAGGCCGACCCCCTCCGAGCCAGCTACACCTTGAAGATGCGGGCCTCCAGGGGTGTCTGCTGCACCGCCCTGACCATCTCTGTGCCCGTCTGGCAGGCCTGCCGCATCCACTCGTGGTCTGCCAACGTCAGCAGGCGGTCGGCTGTGGCGCCGGCGGACACCGCCTGGCGTTCCTGGCTGCGCAGCGCATGCTGGGCCAGCCTCCACACGCTTTGTAAAGCGTTTGCTCTGCAGTGTGGCAGAAACCGCCGGTTAGGAGCGATGGTGGGCGGAGTCATCACCGATGGTACCGTGCGTTCATCGCCGTGGGTCCCTGTAGTTTACCCGTGCGCGCGCGGCCGGACCGCGCTCATGCTTCAGCTGGCCCGAAGGCTTGCGGGGCAGTAGGCGGTCTGGTGCAAGCACGGCAGTCGGTTACAACTAGCAGGTGAACGCGGGACAGCCTGAATAAGCCCGTCGATGCATGCACAATAAGCTATTTGAATGGCGGATTTGTCCATGACTTTAAAAACATGCACAAGGCGCCAGCGCCCTGGGTGTCCCATGCATGCGCCCTTTTTGTTAAAACTATTTACAGACCCAGTCTGATCTGAACCTTCAAGATAACAAACAGGCAATGTACCAGATCTATAAGGCCAGATTTGGTAGTTGTACTGAAGCGGTTCCATTGCCCGCATTACGGCGTTTTCCATGCAAGGCCACATCGGTGGCTATGGCGCAGCTTCCTTCATCATCTCCCTTCCGATCAACAGTCGGCGAATCTCTGCAGCAGCACGCCGTATTGCAGGGTCGGCCCTACAGCTGCATTGCATTTGGATCCCGCCAGCGCGCTGTCCTCACCGGAAGTGCCCGCCCCAATCTCGTACAGCTTGGCATCTCGTAGCAGCCGCCCAGTGGGGTATTCATTGATGTAGCTGCAAAGGGTGTGGCGCAGCGCTGTGCCATCAGGTAGTGCATCTGTCCCCTTGTCAAAGTTCCAACAGCAAGTTGAGGTATCTCAAACGCACCCATTGCCGCCATACAGCTGGATGGCATGCAGCGCCATCCTGGTGGCATTCTCCGCGGCAAACAGGATGACCGCTGCACAGTCTTTGCGATTAATACGGCCTGCAGCCAAAAGGTTTGGGCCAAGAATGACGCATTCCAATGGGCACGCAGCTGGCTGGATGGAGTAACTGTCGGGTGTGTAGGTGGTGGGCCAACCACTAGCTCGCCGCCGGCACCTGCGTCTGCGGCGGCGGCCACGCTGTACAGGTAGCTGCGGGTGGCTTCGGTGGCGGTGTACATGTCTGCCAGCTTAGCTTGAGTCATCTGGAAGTCGCCCAGCCTGTGCCCAAACTGCTTGCGCTCAACGCAGTAGGGAAGTGTGACATCCAGGCATGCCTGTACAACAGCAGCGGGTGAACGTCGAAGGCAGGCGGAACCTTGCATCAAATAAGCAACAGCCCTGCCAGCTGCTTGGAGTAGCGGCTTGTGGTCTTGCCACCCAGCAGAGCCATCAGCTGCTTCGTGCCTGCAAGATGCCCAGTGGTCCACCGGCAAACACCAGGCGCTCCACATCCAGCCCGCTCATAATCATGTAGACGCCCTTAAGATGGAAGACCGGTGGTGCCACTTAAGCAGGCACTGACAGGTGTAACGGCGGCCCTTGGATTTCAGGCATACACTTGTCAAGACTGCTGCCCCTCACCTTATTCTCCTGCCCCAGAACATTTTCAGCCGGTACTTCGCAGTTCTCAAAGAGCAACTCGCAGGTGTCGCTGCCCCGCATTCCCAGCTTATCCAACTTCTGTGCAGTGCTGAAACCCTGCATCCATAACGGTGCCAGTCAGCAGTGGTTGTCAGCCCAGCCAATAGAATGCAGCCGCAACAAGCGCCAGCACCGCGGCCTCTTGCCTTCATTCCCTTTTCCACAATAAAGCCTGTGATCCCATGCTTTCCAGCATTTGGATCCGTCTTGGCATACACTATAAGGGTGTCTGCAACGATGCAGGCAGCCTTGCAGGTGGCGAGGATCAGTCAGGTGAAGGTGAGGATCAGCTAGCTGTTTAACTGACTGCGTTACCTGCAATAGGTCCGTTCGTGATCCTGGGCGGCGCAGTTGTCAACATACGAGGCGGGGCGGGGGCGGGGGTGGGTGGTTAGGAGGGCGGGTGCATGCGGCCAGGCGCGCAGGAGGCGTGGAGCGCCGCCAGCCAGCCACCCCACCCGTGCACCCACCCCACCCCACCCCACCCCGCCCCGCCCACCACATTTTGTTGCCATTCAACACGTAATGGTCCCCCTTTTTATCTGCAACAGAATCAAACAAGTGAGGAAAATGACCAGGAGTCATGCTGCGTGATGAACCGCACCTGCTTTGCAGCGCATGCTGACGACGTCACTGCCAGAGTTGGGCTCAGACATGGCGATAGAGGCCACATGCTCGCCTGTTGCAGGGTGGAAGGGCAACGAGGCGTTGCGTCAGAGTATCAGGAAAAGGCGGGCTCGGGCACTGACGGCAGTAGACCACCTGTCAGCAGCATGGGCAGATACTTTTCCCGCTGTCTCTGGTTGCCGTGGCGAGACAGGGCATGGATAGCGACGCTGCTGTTGACGGCATAGGACAGCCCAACTGCATTCACAGGGCGAACGTGGGACCATGCTGAGAAACGCTAATTTGGCTGAGGCCCCTGCATCTGGGGCTCCCTTCATTTGGGACCCGGATGCGCCTCACGTGCCCCAGAGGCGCGGCTGATCTCCTCCATGGCAATGGCGTGGTGCAGGTAGCCCATCCCAAGCCCTCCCTGCTCTTGAGGTACAGTGATGCCTGGGTGCGCGTGGGCAGGGAGCGGGAAGGCCATGAGCGATGTGCGGGCACGCATGTTGCCAGAACTTTAGCACTCGCATACCAAGCAAGCCAAGCTCACCATGCAGGCCCCACTCGCCCGCCTTGCGCCAAAACTCAAACTCAGGGGGGAAGGCATTGAGCCTGTCAATTTCTGCTGCATGCGGCGCAAGGAAGTCTTGAGCAAACGTGCGCATGTCCTCTCTGAATGCTGCCACCTCGTCGGCAGGGGGAGTAGTGGGCGCCGCGCCCGCCAGCGCTGGCTCCGCGGACAGCCCCCGAACGCCCAACAGCGCAAGGACGCCCTGCCCCAGGCTCCTGGCGCACTGGTTGGTGGCCAGCGCGGCGGTGGCATGGCACAGCATGGTTGATAGAAGGAGGGGTGGCTGCTTTGGGGCGCTTGAGTGCCTACGGCTAGTGCGCGCCTTTCAGCGCAGCAGAAGCCGGGCCGAACGCCGTAAACAATCGTGGCGCAAGTTAGAGCCGCGTAGGTTAAAGCAGGAGACGAATGGACAGATTTCCATTTTTTTTTCAAAATTGGAATTGTTAAACCGTAAGTGCGTTTGAACTGCTGGTACTGTGCATTCCTAAAGCCCACCATGGGGTGGCCCCCGGGGCTTCCCGCGCACCCATGGCTGTGGCTGTCCCAGCCTGTGGGCGTCCCGCAGGGCTCTGGTGTCCACCTATCGCTTCTCAACACAGCTAGAGCTGTGTTGGGGGCCGTTAGGCCCGTCGCAGCGTGGCACCGCCAGCAGGGAAGGAGATGGCCAGCAGCGGAGCGCTCTCTGCGGCATTTTGCGCTAGATGAGCCGCTATTGAAGCTCGCAGGAGCTCCCGGTAAGCCAGAAAGGCTGTATATATCGAGGCAGATGGCGCACTAACTAACTAATTTCAGGCCCAGCTGGACCCCCTAGTTGAAACGCACCCTAAAACTAAATAATTGCGATGCTGAGATGCGCGGTGTCTACATTACGGCTGGCATTGATGAGAAGAGATGAGCCACATGGCGCCGCCCGCGCCAGGCGGGCTGCCTTTTGCATGATGATGACAAATTTGTTTCTCCCCTCGCTGCTCTCTCCTCCTGCAAGCCTTATCCCAACTGCGGCCCAAGTTGGGCAGCTCCTGGTAGCGGGACCTTCATACGGGTGGCGCTTGCAGGGGGGTCCCAGCTCCGCAGCAACTATCGGCAGGTGACAGGCGAATGGGTGCCGGGCACCCTCATATAATCGATTTTAAGAGAGAGTAGAGCCGGGGGGTGCCAGCAGGTTTGTTTCTTCGTTCGCCTGCTCTTTGCCGCGATCAAAACGTGGTGGACGAATGAGAACTTTTTAACTGCAACTGGCGACCTAAGTGGGGGCCTGCCAAAAGTGCCGCTCGCCGCCACCGCCGCCAGCGAGGCATACCTCCAGCAAGCTGCACACGACAGAACCAAACACTCCTTAACTGTACCTCTACAGATTGGCTAGAGGGAGTCCTGGAAGACGCTGTTCTTGCTAGCCATGCATCGTTGCCCGGGGCACAGGGTCTTGCGTCGAGTGTTTGAAAACCCAACAGGGCCATGTTGCCTTGCAGGATATGTGGGTCCCTCTTGTTGGCGCGGCCTCAGTGATAAGCCTGATGGGCTATGTGTCCCTTCGCATCCATCTCGCTGACCAACATGAGCGGTCACACCGGCGGCAGCTTCAAGAGGCCCGAGCGAAAGGTGGGCTTGTTTGCCGGCACGGTTTGCAGCAGATTGCGCCCTACAGGAGATGCATTTTGTTTTGGGCTGGATTGCAGGCACGACGCGATCATCTGTCCTGCCCACCAATGCACGACGCGTCTTGAGAAGGCTGCTAAAGCAATGACCAGTGCAAACTTGGCAACACTATCCCGGAACAATGATTCAACCACAATTTGAGCTGACATTGTCGACCCTTTCATGCTACACTGTTTGCTTCCCTCTCACGTGCAAAGGCGCTCATCACTTGAGCGTCGGCGCAGTTGTAGGCCCGCACTCTAGGACCCCTGCTGCTCTCAGCCATGTGGGCAGCACTGGCAAAAGCGGGTGTGCGCCATCTCCCCGGGCTGTTCCCATCCGCTGAGAAGGCAGAACAGGCGGCGACAGCTGGTGTACTGCGGTATCAATCTTCTGCACACGGCGAGGGGCCCAGTGGCAATGCTGGGCGACCCCCCAGCAAGGGACACCAGCGGCAGCGAGACCTGCACCAATGCGTTTCTGGTGCACGGCAGGAGCCACAGGAGCAGCAGCAACAACCACCGATCTCGAGCCCCAAGCAGCAGCAGCAGAATAGGCAAGCGCCATGCAATTCACGCAAAGAGCAGCAGCAGGCGCCTTCACACCCACAGCAGCACAAACTGCTGCCGGAAGAAAATGCAAGCGCCACGGCCAATGTGCCGCTTCGTCAGGGGCACCCGTGGCAAAGTGGGGCCAGCTGCCACACCCGACGCAGCTGGCCAGCAGTAAGCGGCAGTACGAGCTGAAGCTGATGTTTAACAAAAAGAGAACGCTCGCTCGGCGCTTTTGTAAACTCCATGTTATATCCTCCAGGGCATAAGCTACTGGGGTGTCGGATGTCAGCGCAAGCCTTTTTTTAGAAGTAGCGGCCGATGAGTCTCGCTGCACTGCTCACAATGTCGAAGCCCCGGGGCTTTGCTGTTTTCAGCACGCTGTCCAGTTGCAAGTGCTGGATATAGCGGCCACCAAGCGCACCGTCCAGCTCCTGGTCACACAGCTGCAGGAAGAGCAGCAGCACCTGCAGCAGCGCGGTGCTGCCTGAGGCGGCATACATGTTCTCGCCCGCCACAACGAGCGAGAAGAGTGGCTGCTGCGTGCCCAGCTGCAGCCCCACCACGGCAGCGCCCTGCACGCAGAGCATGGGGTGCAAACGTGCACGGGTGCATGACACGAGAGTGCAACAAACTGGCCCGTTCACCAACAACCCGCGCCATACACACACATACCTTGGGCCCAGTCACGGGTGGACGCGCTGGCAGCAAACCCACATATCCATCCACCGGCTTGCTAGGCAGCTTGCCTGCAAAGGTAGTCATCACATGGTCGTGAACGAGCGGTCAGCGACAATAGCGCTGCAGGGTGCAAGATGGAAAAAAGGCTTGCTGCCACAGACGCCACCACCTTTACAAACCTAGGTAGAGCGTGCCGCTGAGGCCGCTGATGGCGGTGGCATCACCCTGCACGCCCACCTCCAGGCAGCAAGGCGAGCGCTTGCTGAGCCATGCAAGCATAGCCGTCCCGAAGACATCAGAGCAACTTATGGCGCGACATGCAGTTGCCACACACGAACGCAGCACCAGCGCACCTGTGGGAAGAGCCACTGCGGCGCTGCCAAAAAGGCGGCAAAGAGGTAGAATACCAGTGCTGAGTCGGTGGGCAGCTCAGGGCTCCAGGGCTTGCCATTCCACTCGCCGCCCCGGTTCCACTCGAATGCTGCCAGGCAGCTGCCCTCTGCACGCGTGAAGCACAGTGGCGCCGAGCAGCCAAATGTATTGGGGAAGCCGGCGGCGCACTAGGAAGCGAGTCCTCTGAGGTGGCAGACAAGCCCAGCATGCAGAGCTGATGCCAGGCACCTGCCAGCTCGCAGATGCGGGCCACGATGTAGCCCTGCGGTGTGGGCGGCAGCAATCCAGGCGGGTACTCGCCCCGCAACAACGCTGATAGCCGCTGGTAGGCATTCACGGCCTGAAGGAGGCAGCGCAGGCCAGCGGATGCTTTGACGACGCAGAGGCAGGGATGCACCAGCTCTCTTTGGGATGACAAAACACAATGGCTTTCCGCAGTGCAACTACTGCCATGCCGCGGTAAGGATTGCAGCGCATTCACACGCAGAGCTGGATAGGCCAGCTGTCCCAGGTTCACCTCCAGGCAAGCATTGGCTTCCACAGGAGGCTGCAGGCTGCCCAGCGATCGCATGCGCGCCAGCAGCTGCTCCCGCATCTGGGCAACCACCAGCTCATCATCGGCATGATTGCGCTGCTGGCCTGCGGAAGCGGAATGGAGCATCAGAGGGCAGCTCAAGAGCACCCCCCCAACTCAAAGCCAGGAGAAGCGAGAATTAGGAGGCAGAACGAAGTGGCAGCATAAACGCACCGCCCTGGCCCTCCAACGGCTGCAGTTGCACTCCCTGCCACCCGATGCGCGCCGCCGTCTCGATGACACTAGTGTGCGCGTTATCAACAGCATTCACAAGAGGCTTCAGCACCTTGGCGGCCATCCATTCCCGCAGCCGCTCCATGCCATGCTGCAGAAAGAAGTGTGTGTGTGTGGTTAGGGGGTCTGGGGCGCACAGCAACACAAAGAGGTCCGTTTATGCAACCTCTCGCTCACCTCAATTGAGCGTTCGTTCATGTGCAAGCGCTCCAACACCGCTCGCTTGCTCTCCAGTGTGGATGGCCCCACTTTGCCGTCAGTGGCCACCGGTACTGCTGCTTTGCCCTTGGGCACCGCAGAGGGCCTGCAGCCGCGAGCACAAGTGTGCCAAATGGTTGGCACCGCAGCCCGCCTTGCGCCGCCAGCCAGCTTGCAGTGTGCCGACGTTGCGGTGAGCAGATAATGCCGAAACTGATGCACAACTTGCAAAGTGGAGGGCGACAGGTCTCGCTGCGCACCTGTACACCGGCGCAGGGCCCAGGGATGGCGAACTGGAGCCCAGCCGAACAACCGAAGGGGCTGGGACGAAGCCCGGCTCGGCCTGCTGCTGCAATACTGCTGGGGAAACTGTGCCCTCGTCAAACTCATCCTGCAAAGCATCGACAGCATATACATTTTAAACCCTCCCGCTAAAAGCGCCTTGCTGGGTCATGCTTGTCCAACATCCGCCTGCAATCTTGTTAAGCGCCTCGTGCTCACCAGCACGCGGAGCAGCTGCTCAGGCGTGGTGATGAAGCGGCCGCCATAGGGGCTGGCCCTGCTGTTGCTGGCCGGTGCGGCTGGTGGGCTGGCCTCCCGGGCGGCTGCCGGCAAGCCCACTATCGTGCTGCGCAGCGGCGGGCCTAGCGGTGTGTGCGCCTTGGTTGCGGGCGCCATGCCCTGTGCTGCTGGAGCTGCGGGCTTGGACGCCGGCAGCCCGGCCACCAGGCTGTGCAATCCAGCTGCAAACAGCAGCGCCGACAAGGCTTGCAGCGCAAGCCCTGCACACGAGCGGCAGCGGGGGTGGCGGGTTTGCGGTAGCCAGGGTGGGGAGCTGTGGCGGCTAGCGCTGCACAGGGGTCGGCCTGCGGCTCGATGCTGCTACGTGCCCTTCACCTACCTGGCAGTGACGTTCCCAGCAGGAGGCTGCAGGCTGGCGTGGGGGCTCGTGAGACGTCAAGTGAGTGATCGGCGTGCACAAGCATGAGCATAGGGACTGGCTGCCCGTAATGCACCTACCTCCATCGCGACAGCAGCAGGCACACCAGGCCAACCAGCAGAAGGCAACCAGCTGCAGGGCCTTTGGCAGCTGCCTTCTGCTGCAGGGCTGCGGGGATTACGTTCCAAGCTGCCATCACACGCTGAATACTGTCCATCGAGCGTTCAATGGACACCTGACTCTGCCAAAGTACAGCACTACGTCCGCGCTCGGCCGATTTCTCTCTGCATGTTCTTTCTGCTGCTGCTTCTTTCATAGTAGCCCAATTCTTGGTGCGCGAACATGGCACGGACGAAGAAGAAACAGCAGGCGGTGCCTGCCCCAGCACCGGGCAGTCGTGATGAGGCGGCCACGAGTTATGGCACGCAGCAGCTTCCAGATGCCCTGGAATTGGCCAGAACTAGAGTGTTGTGCGGCCCAGATGTCAATATACATGTGGGTGTGCGGCACAGACTGGTGTCCAGGAAGACGAGGGAGCTCTGTTTGCATTTGCATATGCATCAAGTATGCACGCGGGGTTGCACAAGCCTTGCGCGCACCCCGCCGCCGTCACCGCTGCCGCCCTGCAGACTACCAGCACGATCGCGGCCAGCCAGTGGGCAAGCCTGGGCGTGGATGCCGCATTTGACCTAGAGAAATTTAAAAAGGGGTTCCAGGTTGACATCACACGCTACGAGGGCTATGACATGGAGTTTGAGATGAAGGGCGTGAGCTGCGCGGTGCGTGCTGCTTAGCAATGAGGCTATTGTCGTTAGCCTGGCGGGCCAGCGCATCGGTCACTGGACAGCAGGCGTACCGGTGGTGGCCCGACGTTCAGCCGCCCAGGGGCCACCGCGATAGAAAACCCGCGCCTCCTCATGCACCCGTGCAGTTGGCCAACTCGCTGCGCCGCATCATGATTTCTGAAGCGCCCACCATGGCCATTGAGCACGTGTACATTGTGAACAACACGTCAGTCATACAGGACGAAGTGCTGAGCCACCGCCTGGGCCTGATCCCGCTCAAAGTTGACCCGCGCCTGTTCCAGTACAAGGTGGGCATTTGTGTCGAGGTTGGGAGCGGCAAGGGTCGAGTGGTGTGGTGTGTGTGTGTGCGTGGTGGTAGTGAGGGGGGGTGGCTGCGCCGGGGGTCAACTGGACTGAATGGAGCCCTGCCGGGTGCTCCCTCGCTGCATGTGCAGGCCAAGGAGGACGCCCCCAGCGAGCAGAACACGATTGTGCTGAAGCTCAAGGTGGAGTGCCGGCGGCTACCCAACAGCGGCATGGAGAATGACAAGGTGTACTCGCGGGACCTGCAGGTCAGGCGGGGCTGGCTGGTTCTTGCAACAGGACGCTAATGCTTGCTGGTTGGTGTGCGCTGGGATTCATGAAATTGCTGATCAGGCAGCTATTGTGCTGGGCAGGGCGGCACACTGATGCGCCTGGTACTCCTTAACGGCACCTTGGACGCTGTTTGGCAGAAGGATAGCAGTTGGCTAGCCTGCACTGCCCAACCCCTGCGTTGTCGCAGTGGCTGCCAGAGGGGAGTGAGATGCCGGACGAGACGTCGTGCCGCTTCGCTAGCAGCCAGGCAGCCCTGGTTCCAGAGGACGTGCGACCGGTGCACGACGACATCCTCATTGCCAAGCTGCGGCCAGGGCAGGCCATCGAGCTGGAGTGCCACTGCATCAAGGGTGCGAGCTGATGCATTATCATTTTCTGATACTCCACTCCTCGGCAGTTGCGATTCGTGCCGGCTTCCCGCTGGCTTGGCTCCTGGCTACCCCTTGTGTTCACCCTGCTGCCCGCCGCCTCGGCACGCCGCCGGGCTGCCGCAGGTGTGGGCGATGACCACGCCAAGTGGTCGCCGGTGGCGACCACGTGGTATCGTCTCATGCCAGAAGTGGTGCTGCTGCAGCAGCCGCGGGGGAAGATAGCGGAGGAGCTTGTAGAGCAGCTGCCGGGGCTGTTGCAGCTATTGGGCAGCGGCGACCACGCGACGGTTGTGGTGGGGGACGCGTGGCAGCACGACAAACTCTTGGAGAAGGTGGGATGGCAGGCCGTGCAGTTTGTGCTGGGGTGCGTGTGTCGACAAGGTGGGAACAGAACGTCAGCTGCCTGGCGCCACATCTTCCGCCGCCCTCTGTTGGCTGCCCCTGGTGTCATGTCGCTTGGCATCAAGCTTGCGCCGCCTGTGCCACAGGTTCGGCGACTGTCTGGCGAGGAGCGGTACATGCCATATCTGCAGCTGCGCAAGATCAAGGACCACTTCATTTTCACAATAGAGTCTACGGGAGCGTGGCGGCCGCACGAGCTGTTCAAATACGCGGTGCAGCTCATGGTCAGCAAGTGTGACAAGGTGCTGGAAGGGCTGCAGGCCTTCCCAGCCCGCTCTTTCAAGACTTGATGCCTGCGTGCTGTGCGTCTGAAATGTGAAGAGTGGCGTACAGCCCATCTGCGCTGCACTGCATGCTGCGCTGTCTATGCTGCGCAGTGGTGTGTAATGCTGCACCCGGCCTGCTGACCTCAGAGAACCTTCGGTATTCAGAATATGTGCTCAGCCTAGGCACCCGCCCGTGCACGTTCAAGTGCGCTAAACAACCATTCCCAAGGAACCTCCCATCCCAGTCCTTCACGCCTTGTTACTACAGCGATGGCTTCGGCTAAGCGACGGTGAGTGATTGGACCCCAACCGCAATGGTGTTTGCTGTCTAGCGGCAACCTCGGCCCCCGATGGTCACACGCGGCCTTTAACGCTTTCAGCAGCTTTGGCCCTCGAGGACCTGCAGCCTGGCACTGGGCGTGTGGAGGATCATGTGGCACCTGCTGCGGCACATCTGTGTGGCCCTCCAGCGCACACTCGGCCGGAAGGTGTTCACAGTCGGCAAAGCCGCCGACTGGCCGCAATCGGCGGCGGACCACGAGTGGATGCGGCAGGCCTGCCAGACGGGCACGGAGATGGTCAGGGCCGTGCAAGAGGCAGCCCCCGAGGCCCGCATCTTCAAGGTGATCCAAGGGGAAAGCCTTGAGTTAGCTACGGTGCCTGGCGGCCTCCCACCCCACCGCCACAGAACATCTCAAATTATTGCTCCCGCATTTCACTTGCAGCCGGCTCCAGTAGACCAGATGTATCAGGGCGCAGCCGTCAGCTTCACCTACTTCTTTAAAGATCACAATCTCCAGCCAGACCTGCTCAAGCGTGCGCTGCAACGCGTGCTGGGCGAGCTGCCGCACCTGGCGGGGCGGGGGCGGGTGCTGGGCAGAGGCAACCGCCTCATCGACTCGGTAATCGAGTGCACCAATGAGGGGGTCGTAGTTGCCACTGCCAGCGCCCGAAACATCAGGTGTGCGGAGCTTGCGTTGGTAGCGCTTGCATGTCCATGGCTGCTCTCTATCTGCAGCTGCAACTCCCCCCTACATGTACACCTTCTCTGTCACAGGCTCCTGGACGTGGGACCACACACCTGGGCTACTCTGCACAGCGGGTGCTCTCTCGAAGACTCCCCCATGCCTTTCTATGGTCAGCCCCTGGATGCTGCTGCAGTCACCAACGGCAAAGAGGCGCCGATGCAGATCAGGTGGGTGCAATGCAGGCAACTGGCTGGTAACCCCGCACCAAACTGCACTCCGTTGCTTGACTCTGCAGGTTGACTGACCTGGCTGATGGGCAAGTGCTGTGCATCAGCTGCTGGCACGCAGCAGTGGATGCTGGCAGCGGCATAAAGCTTGCCAAGCGGCTGTCGCAACATTACAGGTGCCAAGCCGACCGGCTTGCATAAACCATGAACCGATGAGGCTGAGCACAACATGGCGTTCCCATGATGTCTTGCATTGTTTTGAATCATGGGGCGTGCAGGGCTCTATCGACTGGACAGGTTGTGGCCGGTCAGGCCCTCAAGGCGGGGAGCATGCTGCTGCATTCTCCTGCTGACCTCATGGAGGCGCTGGCAGACGAGTGAGTGCTGCTATGATGTGGTGGGGTGGGTGGGTGTTGGGATGAGTAGGTGTTTGAGGGGCTGACAAGCAAGGAGACTCCTCCCCCTTTGGCATTGCAGTGTCAGCAGCCCCTGGGAGCCCAACCCTGTGTCCACACGGATGTCTTTGAAGCAATGGCTGTCTGCACCATTCCTGATCTACCGTACTATCAAGAGCCGCTGGGATGTGCACATGATCTACTTGCCGGGAGAGGTGGTTGCACGGGTGAAGGCTGCTACCATTGGTATGTCGCCGCATCCTTGATTGCATTCAATCTACCTACCCTGCTGGAATGTGGCCCACCTGCCAAGCATGGAAATGCATCTTGCTGCCAGCAGCTGCAGGCGGATTCCAGATCAGCACTAACGATGCTGTCCAGGCCATGATATTCACTCTGTACAATGACCTTCGCGGCAAGCCACTTGTGCCCACCAGCCCGCAGATGTTCACCGTCACAGCGGGTAGGTCTGTGCATAGGTATGGACCACCTGTGCACTGTTGGCAAGGCACTGTTGACAAGGCCATTTACCATAATGCTGCAGACATTCTTCACGGACGCAATCTCAAGGACACCATGCTGCCTGATCAGTACTTTGGCAATGCCGTGGAAGTTGTGTTCCTGGAGGGCGGCGTGAAGGGTGCGTTTGAGGGCCCCCCATCGGGTTTGCAGCGCTGCTGAAGCCTGATGCAGGTTGCCTGCTTCAATAGGCCAATTTGCAACGAATGGAGCGCCTTTGCAGGCTTGGAACCGGCACAGTTTTCCAACCAGCAGGACATGTTTCTGGCAGCGCTGGCAGCCAATGCTCGACGTGTGCGCGAGGGCATTTCTGCCTATAGAGCAGACTGGGTGAGAGAGAGACATGCGCTTGCTTGCATATCCCTGCTTGGCCTGGATTCTGCCTCGTGCATCACAGCCAATGCGACGCTGCCGTATTTGCCGTAGCGACCTGCTCTTGACACGATGGCAACCTATCACAACATGGTGCGCATACACAAGCTGTCGGTAGCTGCCAACTTCATAGTGAAGGGGGCAGAGCAAAAGTGTGCGTCAGCAAGCTGCATCACCAAGTTCCCCATCCAGGAGGTGAGATTGAATGTGGGAATTTATTGAATGTTTTTTTTGTTTTTGGGTGTGTGTGTGGGGGGGGGGACCACTCAAGAGAGAAATAAATAAAAAAGGTGATCACAAGACGCACACAGCTTCTGCGATGTGGGGGGCACATGCAGGTGGACTTCGGTAGCGGTGCGCCACTTCATATGCAGGTCCACCTCCGTCCTTGGTGCGACTGGTGGTACATCTACCATGCTGCTGCCGGCATTGATGATGGCGAGGGGATGCTTATGCGTGCGGTTGTCGAGCAAGGCATGGCACAGAAGCTTAAGAAGCACCACCTTTGGAAAGGTTTGGCAGCAGGGGCACAGCTGGCGCTGGCAGGCGAGCGTGTACGTCCCTTTGGAGGACAGCCTGGCCGGCTCGATGCAGGGAATAAGTAGGCGCAAACGCTCAGAAGGAGAGTTTACAACTGCATTTCCCAGCAGTGCATTCGATTGGTATTTAAGCCGTGCAGCCTGGTGGCAGTTACTCAGATTGCTCTCAAGCACATTCCCGAGCAGTGGCTGCCAGCCAATCTTGTAATGATGGCACACATTTATTTACACAGCGAGGGTGCATCTTGCTGTGACCTGCTGCAATTGATGTGAAAACACAGGGCAACATCAGCGGGTGGTGTCGACAATCAGCTTGACGGATACCACGCAGCCCCAGCTGCGGGTTGTATGCCGCTGGCGATGATACCAGCATTGGCCCAAGAGTCCCCTTGCGGCAGCACAACAGGCCGCCCCGTGCTGAGAGAGCGCTGGACATCTGGCTGTGGTCGAGGCAGCTGCTGCTGCGTCTGGGGCGCCTTGCGCTGCTGCTCCTGCTGCGCCGCGGCCACCTTATTGCCACACACTCGAACAAAGAACTGACGCCTGCACACTGCGCGAACCTGCAGAACAAGGCAAACATGCTTGATTTTCGCCATTGCTCGTAATGAAGAAGAACATGTGCAAAGAAAATTCGTGTTGCATGGGAAAAAACGCAGGCGCTTTTCCGCCGAGTTGCACCTGTTTCAGGTATGCATCCGCCTCGATGGTGCCTTGATTCAACGCCTTGTCCAGAGCATACAACGCATCCTCCAGCGCCAAGTCCTGCGCCTGCACCTCCAGTGCCTGCTGCGACAGTGGGTCTGCGGCTGCAGGCAAAGCAGGGGGGCAGAAAGTCGGTGCTTAAAATCTGCACTTGGAACTAGCCTTGCAAGGGTGTGGATGGCTTGCAAGGGGTGTGGTGCCTATGGTCACGGCAGAGTGCACGCTGGGCGAGCGCCAACCCTACCTGAGATCACAGAATCGGGGTCCAGCTGCGAGGGGTCGTCTGCCGCCTTTGCCAAATGTTCATTCTCTGCCAGCCACCTGTAACAAAAAATTTAATGACACAGGTGTGCCAAAAAAGCAGCAAGCACTTGTGGCGCAGCAATGCAATGCACATGTGCGTTTGCCGACCTATCCAAGTGCGCGCTGCTGGCTGCCAGCTCCTGGCTCAATTTATCCAGGGCCACCCGCTCAGCCTGCACGACATAGAATGACAAAAGAAGCAATAAAAGAACAGCAGCAGCATGCCGGAAGGAGACCCGCGGAAGGCAGGACACCATCCGGCACACCTGCAGTGTTGCAACCTCTGACTGTAGCTGCTCGCCGCGCTGCCTCAAAGTGCCCTGCAGCTCAAGCTGCGCCTTGGCCTGCCCCGCAGTCTGCTGCATAACGGCCGTCAAGCTGGCATGCAGACGCTTGTTAAGAGCGGCCAGGGCGGCGGTGTGAAAGGCTGCTGCCAGCTTGGCAGAAGTATTCTCCTTGGGAGGCTGCGGCTGGGCCATGGGTGGCTGCTGCTGCAATACTGGCTGCTGCTGCTTCTGTGCTTCCGAGGCTGCCATCATAGCTGCCCACACACTCTCAAACCCGCCAGCCGTAGCAACATTGGCAGCAGGTCCCTTCGCCGGTGCCACCGGGTTTCTTCCCCGTTGCCCTGGCTAAGTTAAACAATTTGCCAACAGACGGGAAGCCAAAAGAGGGCCCCGTTTGCCCCAAGGGTTGGTGCCGTTGAAAATGGCCCAAGGCCGCCTCAGCCCCTACACGGCTGCTGCCAGTGCCGCCATTGGGGTGCAACAGGGGTGGCCTAGGCGGTTGTCCTCCTTTTGCGGCTGCCAAGTTGCCGCTGCTGCCGGCATTCCAGTTCTTGGGCTTTGAGAAAAGGGGAGGGTCGCCCCCAAAATGCATGGACATATCCTGCATGCCAGCACCCAATGATGGGTAAGCACCCGTCAGTCGTCACCGACAATGAACGAGAAGAAGACAAAGCGGGCATCGCCATCCTGCGCCTAGAAGGATTTTCCATCCACTCCTCAATGACTGTCAGCAGACCTGTGCCATGTCTCGCAGGTTGGAGGATGGGTACTGCCACTGCCCGATGTACGGAGTGTGCACCAGCCCTGCAACAGCAAGCGTGGTGACAAACATGCATGAGGGAAGGTCGCAGCGGAGGGGTGCATGTGCAGCCTGGCACTCTCGACAGGCAGCGGCGTCGCCAGTCAGAAGGGGCCTAACCCCGCAGCGCTGCCGCACCTGAGGCATCCACAAAGCTGTGGCGTGGCTTGATGACCATGTCGGGGGTGGGCACCACATAGGCCATGGGCGCAGCCAGCGGGTACTGCTCAGGCAGCCAGATAGCCACAGGGATGTTGTACTTGTGTGCCTGGTAGTACATGGGCAAGGTGCCCTCTGCCAGCAGCAGCTGCACGGTCCTGCAAGGTGGCATGGCGAGTCGGGGAGCACATGACAGGTGAGATGGGCGCCAGGGCGGCGTAGGAGGCTGTGTGCTGCGGCACGGTGCACCTGCCATCGGTGTGCACGTAGTTTCGGGACTTGACATGCAGGGAGGGCAGGTCCTGCACAGCGCAGCAGCGGAGGAGTGGGTGCAGTGCACGTTGCCGATGGGGCGATCGGAGTGCAACAAAAAACGTCATGCGGGGTGGCTTACCGTGACCAGGTCTGTCATGTGCTGCTGCACCAGGAACTTGAACTCTTGGGCATACGGCATTGCAGAGTTGGGCCCCAGGGCCTCCGACAGCACTGCTGCTGCATTCTGTGGCATTTTATGCCAGGGGTAGCCACCAGCTTGAGCTCTGGAGCCCAGAGCAGGGCTAAAAGTGTGCACGCCGTGGGGAACGCGGTCGGGCTTCTCTCGACCCGTTCACCGCCTCATGGCAGGACAGCGGGGAAAGCGTGGCTTTGTTGATGTTCCCGCGAGCCCGAATGTGGGCGCAGCGAAAGGTTGATTCGCTGGCGGTAGGGCGCTGACTATGGAGGAGTAGGGCCAGGATTGAACTTGAAATTTACCACGCGAGTGTTATAACAGCAAAGTCGACCCTACACGGCGGTGCCAACGCAAGCGGGACGTGGGCGGGACGGCCAATGCCCGCACGCAATGAAAGGACAGAGAGGAGCGTGTGTAGCTGAGCGCACATCCGCACAGGCGCGTCACTGTGCCCGAGCGGGCCAGTATACGCCTTCAGTGGCTCTCCACACTGTGTGCCTACCCTTGCTACCCTTGATGGCATACACCTGCGGCAGGGAGGGCGGCAGCAGGTCAACGCTGTGCAGGTAGCAGGTCAAGCGTCAGTCAAGCGCTGGACCGACCTCTGTGTGCCCAGGGATGGGGCGCTGATATTTAACGCCATGGTTGCTCAGAAAGGCCCCTGTGTCCTTGTGCACAAAGCGCACCGCCGCATCGCGCTGCCATTGCTTGGCACCGTCGTCCCATTCCACACGCCACATGTCGCCCGTGTCAGTGGTAGCGTCATCGCCGAAGCAGCTGACCTGCACGCGCGGAGGAGTGAACACAGAACTGGCTGGGGCACAAAAACAGGGGAGATTGTGACAACCCTGTAGGCACTGCCTTGCAGGGAAGCCAGACCGAGAGACCAGCCAAGAGCTGCCCCGCCTGCTCACCTCCTGGTTGTTTGAGAGGGGGGACACAAAGAGGTGGCTGTGCAGCCAGCGGCGTGTGCCGATGTGTTGCAGCTTGATCGCCTGGCCCTTTGTAATGGGGGTTCCTTGTAGGCACTACAAGCAGCAGGCGGCATTAGCACACCGCTGGGGCTGCGTCCACAGCCCGGGGCTGCGTCCACCTGGAGGCAGGCAAGCTCGCTGGCACCCATCCAAGCCTTCCGCCAACACAGACAGGCGGGTGACGGCCCACTCACCCCCCCAGAACGCACAACCCAGAGGCTGTTTGCAGAGTCGCGCTCCGGGAAGCCGGTTACAGACTGCTGACCGCTGCCTCGACCGTAGCCGTAGCTGACCTCGTGTGAGTGCAGCAGGTGCCGCGTGGTGTCCGCTTCCAGCTTGATTGTGCTCCCACAGGTCACCTGCTCGCGCAGGGAAAGGGCGGACGTTCCCGCTTCCGCGCGCGCCAAAATGGGGGCGGCGGGATGTGGCGGCAGCCCCCCAGGGTGCAAGTGCTCGACATTCTCCCAGTGCAGGCGCTGCCTGCCCTGCGATTGGAGGAGCTCTGGGCCTGAACATGCGAGCTCGTGATACTCAGCGCACCAGCACCAGCGGCTCATCCAAATCATCTTCGTCTCCTGCTGCGTGCCATGCCGCCAACAGAACGCAGCACGCTGCTATCGCGAGGGCCCGGTGCCGCATCTGCACAGGTGGTCTCCACTCCTGATAGTAAGCTGCTCGGCACCGTGCGGGAAAGCACAGGGTCTGGAAGAAAAAGAAAAATGACCCGAGGGTGACTTATGATGTGCCGGCAGCGCGGCGCAGCGCGGTCAGCCTGCCGGATTACTAGTACCACCATTCAGCATGATTGACTGATACTGGAGCAGTTTCAACTGATACTGGAGCTGGGAGGTCAGGTTCTTCCGTTCAATCCTGACCTTGCAGTTGCACTCGAGCATGTGCCGAACAATTGTCAGCACCGTGCAGGCGGCCCTGCGGGCGCCGACCCCGCACCGGGCCAGTGCAGCAGCCACCGTGCCAGTGACCAGCCCTGAGTGCGACACCCCCACAGGATAGTAATGCACCAAGCACCCCTGAATCACGCAAGGAAGGTACGGCAACGGGAAGGTACCCACCCCACGGCCCGCACAGTTGCGATTTCTAAAAACTAAAAATGGTTGTATGGTCACATCAAGATCACAAAAATCCAAGGTCATTTAAGAGGGGTCAGTACAGGAAGCTGAACAGTCGCACGCAGCCATCGGCGCCACAGCTCACCAAGCCTTCTTCGCACACCGCCAACCCCGACACAGCGAGCGGATGGGCCCCTTTCGGCGTCCCCCCGGCCTGTGTTAGCGGGTTTCCACCATCGTGTGACGACCGCCCGCTGCCACCTCTGGTTGGGCCAGAGCTGCACATCGTGGCCAGACGCGAGTCACGCATGCAATCACATGGTCACGTGTTTTAAGCAACATTCAGCGGCAAGCGCCAGCAAGCATGGCCACCGTTTGCACCTTGAACCCTTACCTATGATGCGCGCCCTCAATGCTCTGGAGCAGCCGGCCATCTGCGCCACGCCATAATCGCACCGCGCCATCAGCCCCCGCTGTGGCTACCAGCGCAGTGCCTCCGCCCAAGGGCGTTCCGCCAGTGGCGCTGCTGCTGGGGATGGCGTCAATGGCCCGCACCGCACCCCGAGATGCCTTGACGCTCCATAGCAGACGAGGTCCTGCACCCGCCGTGCGAGTAAAAACCGTGTGAGTAGAGGTCAGGGACGTCGAAATGCTAAGGCAGTGTGGCCGTCAACGTTGCAAGCTGATGCATGACATGCCTCACCGGCGCTGCCTCCCATCATGCGCAGGTCAGTGCAGGACAGGCCGCCTTCGCCATCCCCAGCGGCCAGCAGCCAGCCTCCAGGCAACATAGAAACTGCTGTCACGGTGGACTGCAGGGGCCGATGACGCTTACTTTGCCTGTCAGTAAACAAGCTGGGCGGTTTACTGACAACAAGCGGAGCAAGGTTTCAGGCTCAGACCCCAATCCTTAATCGAGCCAGGTCAAGATCGCCCACCTGGTGATGTGATAGCCTGCCAACGCAGCTAGTCGCTGTTGGTGCCATGGTGTCCCATACGCTTAAGTTGCTGCTGCCGCTGCTGCCTATGCCGCTTGCCAGGCAGCGCCCGCCCACCACCAGCACGCTGCTGCTGCCTCCAACAAAGTCCACAGCGCACCCCTGCTTGCTCAAAGCCTAAACAATGGGCATAGGCGATGCAGCCAGAGTCAGTTAAGACAATTCAAACTGCTGTGAATGACATGGACTGCACCGGATTGGACAGCACTTTCGGCAGTGCACACCTGGTGCCACCACTCAGCACAGCCATGTCCATCCCCGTCGGCAAGCCTGCACATTGCAGCAACGCCCATTCATTGATGGAGCGGCATCTTCTTCGCCACCACAAACAAGTGACGGGGGTTTGCAAACTGCGTGCGGGCACCTTGGCAGGTAATAGGAGAACGCTACTAGCTGTGACTTGCCTGGTGGGTGCATCCAGGCGCCACGTGGCCACCACACCGCCCTCTCCGACAGCTGCAAAGCGCTCGCCGCTTGGAGCAAAGCGCACAGCAGTGGCCTTGCCCCAGTTGGCCAGCCTGCAACAATGGCCAAAAGCTGGGTAGGTGATGCTGAAGCCAAGCCCCTCCCTTCTACACATAAAGCCAACGGCGGCCCATCATAAACACACATACTTGGGTGCGACAGACGACTGTTTGAAGCTACGACTAAAGGATAGCAGGCCACTGAACGTTGTGCTGATGTTGGCCAGGTCAGAACCAGGGACTGTGGAGGTACAACAAATGTGATGTCAATAACATGAACCCATTATGCAATTGCAGGCACAGGCAGGGCCACATCACCAGGAGTGTAGGTAGCCAAAGCATTCTGCTCTCCAAACTGCCATAGGTGCAGCCGCCCACTGCTGCAGCCGCTCAGGTACCTGCAACAGTGAAAGCATGTCTCTACGCTGCAAGAACTTGAATTTGCACATGTACTTCAACCCCAGGATCAAGTCAAGCTTGTAAGCTCCCCAACTGCAGCTCTGAACTCACAGCTGCTTGTGGGGATGGGCAGCTATGACAGTGGTACTGATGCTTGATGCTGACACACTGCCATGGGGTGAGCAGGTGCTGCCTGGTGTCTCCGCTGCTGCGCCCACCACGTCAAACTCTGCATGGAAAAGTGCAGCACCCACTATGTTGCTGCTGCCAGCTACACATCACGCAGCAGGCTTGCGGTGAATCAAGTGCACCTGCACCGCCGTGGTGCCAGCTCGGATCTGTTTGCCAGCCTGCTTGATCAAAAAGTTGGGTCAAGAGTCGCCCAAACATGCCTCCTCGCTGCTGCTGCTCTTCCTCAAGCAGTGCCGCTGTCGCAGCTGCGGGTGAATCAGGAACCTCTTCACGCAGTGGTGACAGCAGCTGCAGCAAAAAGCAAAAAGCAAAAAGCAAAAAGCAAAAAGCAAAAAGCAAAAAGGTGGAGTAAAAAAGGAGAATGTTGAAGAAGGCAGATTGCGGCAGCGCTGGGTGAAGCACACAGGCTCGCAGACAACAAAGCCAAGTGCCAGCACACCTCTGGCGGCACAACATGCAGTTGGCCCTCCACCAGCCCATGTCGGTGCGATGCTGTGACTACCGGCCGGCCAAGCACATCTGCAGAATAGCACATCACATTCACTGCTCAGTTTCATGGCTCAAGAGTCAGATCCACACATTCCCCAAGCTGAGCAAGAGTCAGCTATTCATCATGCACTACGTGGCATCCGAGCATTCTAGCAAGCGTGTGAACCTGGCGACATGAGAGGGCAGCAGGCCACGGCCTCCAGTTTTTCGCCATCCACCCGGAACAGCACCTGCCTGCACCATGCGGAACGCGACAGGAGTGAGAAATAGCGGGCAGGCGACAGGGCCAGCATCGCCTCTTTCCTCCAAATTTCCTCCAAACACAGCTAACAGCGGGAGCAGCCTACCCATCGCCAACCACAGCAGTGCCGGCTGTGCTGTGCCGCTGCTGTTGCCATCGAGGCTGCTCCGAGTCACGACTGCGGGAGCTGCTGCCCCCACTGCTTTGCTGGCGCTCAAAGGCAGCGCGTGCTTGGCCAGCTGCAGGCGGTGCCCAGGCAACAGCATGCTGCTGGCTTGCTGATGACATGCTCCTTTGCATGCGCCGCAGCAGGCTCAACACGACAGGGGCATCTAAGGGAAGGTTATGCTGCTGTAGCACCTCCAGCTGATCAGCAGCATCTGCCTCCGAGTGCCGCTGCTGCTGCTCCAACACCTCTGGCAGCAATGTCACTGCTACTAAGTGATGCAGCAGCTGCCCAATATGCTGCTGCTGGGCTGGAGTGCGCTGACCGCCTGATGGGCCAATTGCTGCAGCTGCTGCCTCGATTGCAAGTGCTTGAAGCCCGCAGCTTTGGAGAGTGATAGCTAGAGTTTGCAAACACCTCACCAGCTGGTGCTGCCGCTCCTCCTGCTGCGCATGCCCCAATAGAGGTACCGCTGTCAGCACCAGGCGCAGCAAGGGCAAAAGCTGGGCTGCGTGCTCAGCTGTTGCTGCCGGCAGTTTCGACTGGTTAGCATCAAGCAGCAGCGAAACAATGGGCGCAGCTTCTGCTTGCAACCAGCAGCAAGCTACTCCGGCCAATGCTGCATCGCTGCAAGTCAAGGACTGTGCCTTCCGATGCAGCTGCCGCAGGAGGCGCGACTCAGCGTCGCTGCCAGCTCTGCCAAAGAGCAGGCGGCAAAGCAGCAGCGCCAGCTGTGGATCATGCATTTCGTTGGCTGCGACACCAATTGCCTCATCTGGACAGTTACCTGTGAGGACAGGCGCAGAGCGAAGATCGTTCAATGAATGTGGACATGAATTGTACAACAGGCGTGGCACAGCAGTAGAGTTATGCGTGTACACTCACCCAGGACGAAGAAGGCAGCTGCTAGCTCATGTCGATGCTGTCCCAGGAGCACAAAAGCATTCTTCTGCAGCAGGTGGTTGAAGAGGCAAACGTGAAAGCGAACACACAAACTTTGACACGTAAACCAGTGGTCTTTGCGAGACGGACAGACTTGCATGCAGTAAAGAGGACAACAACTAACAATCACATCCACAACGTGCCTGCGCTGCTTGCCGGTGCTGTTCCTGCCCAAAGTCGCGCGCCAGAAACTCAGCCAGCTTGCGGTTCTGGGTGCTGCGGTACAGCCCCTGCAATTCAAGTAACGAAATGTGTGAGCGTGGGGCGGGATGGCAAAGGTAGCAGGACAACACCTTCAAATAATACAAATAATAGCAAGATAGCGAGGCGTTTTTGTTGTGAGAGACATTGTAGCCAGCAGCAGAGCAGGATGCTATTCAGCTGGCATCTCACTTGGAGCACACTGCGCTTGCCCAGCGCACAGTACAGCAGGGCACAGTCATCGGCATTCCGCCGCTCTGCAAATTGCTGCTTGGCCAGTTTCTCCATGGTGCTGGCCAGGAACTGCTGATCGCGCAGCCAGAAGCCGACTCCCAGCTGTCGCAGCTGGGGCCAGGTGGGCAGCTGATCAGGGGCTGCAAGGCAGCCAAACCAAGAATTCAAATCGCGAGTACAACCCATTACGAAATGCCGCTAGCATGCCAAGGGGAGCCTGTTTGCCATGCATGAATCACCTGCCGAGTCGCCGGCAGTTCGCACTGCGAGGAACACAGCAGCATCTGAAGACTCGGCAGCC